TCCTGCCAGTAAATCCATATGGAGAAATTCATGTTGATTACTAAAGTCCCAGGGAAAAAAATAGACCATTTGTGAAGTGTGGCTGCCTTTCTGACAAATTAAGAACAACAGTGCACAATTTATCTGCAGTTTATGTGACATATTTCCATAAAATTATTCTTCATTCTGATGTCTGTGATCTGTGCATGTCCATTTGCATGTGCATATATGAACACAGCACCAGACCCAGTCAGAGGTTGGAGGCCAGAGAGCCATTTAGCCTGAGCATCATGCTCAAAGGAAGTTCAATGTTAGATCACTGTTTTTAAAATGTTCAAATAATTGGGGGGGGGGTCTGTTTGATTATTTGCCCGTGTCTTGATTTCATGCATTATCATATTTCATTTCCTCTGAGTTAGGAGACTCAGAAGCTGGAAGTGGCTTGTGCTGCTAAATCTGAAAAGACCTGCACAGAATGCCTAGCAATTGACTTGCAAGGGTACACTTAAATTTCCACACATTCAAACAGAGCAGGTCCAGTTTCTGTAAAACTAATTTCCCCTTTCTGCAGTCAAGAATGTCCTATCCCTAGGTGCATTGCTAAGGAGAACCTAGTGGCTACATTGAAAAGGAAAATGTAGAAAAAAATGACCTTGTGTGCATACATAATTATGTGCTTAATTATTTTTCATTCTGCAGCATTCCAACATCAGCCAAAAAAAAAAAATGGTGTTAGAACATGAATATCAAATGTCATAGTCTATAATTCCATTCTCAGGTATGCTGGCTAAGGATGGGATGCTAAATAATCAAGATTAGTCATTCCCGGGACAGGTTGTCTGAATTTTCTCTTGAAGTACAATTGAAGATTCTGCTTAAGGAATCTGAAATTAATTATAGACCACTATAAAATATAAAGTTCAGATCTAAGATGGCAGAGTGATGGGCATTCTAATGAAGAAGCTTATGTTTCTCTGTGAATGCAAATAATTGCCACATTGTACATTCACACTTCTTGGCATAAAATTGTTTTATTCCAGCCATGCTTATTTCACAGAGCCTCCCTGTGCTCTTTAATATCTGCATGTAAAACAGTGTTGCATACAATTGTATGTTTCTTTACAAACCATTTACAGTGTTGTATGGACTAGATAAATCTTTCAACGATGTTAGTGTTAGGCACTAGCCTTTGTTTATTCATTTACCCAAGTTTAGAGAACCAAATTAACTTGAGACGAGGCTTTTTATCTAACAGATGTTTTATTGGCCGAGAAACATTCTGGATGGCTCATTCAACACCGTGGCAAGGTGTTGAGGAGAACCACACCTTATCTAACAGATGTTTTATTGGCCGAGAAACATTCTGGATGGCTCATTCAACACCGTGGCAAGGTGTTGAGGAGAACCACACCTTGCAAAGCAAGCAACAAAGATTTTATAGTCATCCACAAATGTAATCAGATTCATATATCCCCTCATGTCTATATAAGGGATTTTTGGGATGGTCCAGGGAGGACTAAAGGTGGATCCTAAAGAGGTGAACCTAAGTTTAACTTTTTCTTCTGGTTACCAAGGAAATAGCCCATGTTGGTCCTTATCTTTTCTTTGTTCCTCTTTGGAATTTCTTCTGGCCTTCTTTGTAACTTCTTTGGAATTTGGTGTCTCTGCCTGCCTGGTACGAATCTAATTTA